TATAACTATCGTCTTCTGTTGCTCATATTTTGCAGGAGGGAGCTGTCAACTGCATTCAGCTACATGAACTCTTAATCCCATTGTGCAGTGATGAATTTTTTAGAGAAAGATCCAATTTTTTTTTTTAAATAGTTTTATTGGATAGCAAGCAACTATTGTTGTTGTTATTATTATTATTATTGTTATTATTATTATTATTATTATTATTATTATTATTGGATTGATGTTGCTATTTTGGATGTGCATTTTGTGTTCTTGTTTATAATTATAAGAACATTGATGTCTTTCAAATATTAAGAGTATTTGTTATTTATAAAGTTCAAATTATATTTCTTGAAGAAGTTGAACTATTGGATTTTTCAATTTTTTATTTTTTAATTATTTGTATTTTTTTATGATGTGTTAGCCATCAACTATACATTGGTACAAAAATACCAAAAAGCCGTTAAGCTCGCGTTTTATATTGGGCCTTCATACACGGGGCACGACCCAATTGCATATTGGGCTAAGCCCACATTTTATACTGGGCCTTCACACAGGCAGCACCGCCCAATTGAACACTGGGCTAAGCCCGTATTTTTTGCGCCCTTCAAACACGTGGCACATCCCAGTTGTACATTGGGCAATCCCGCATATCATATTACGCCTTCACACAGGCGGTACGGCCCAATTTTATATTGGGCTTAGCCCGTATTTTATATTGGGCCTTCACACACGCGGCACGCCCCAATTATATATTAGGGCTAAGCCCGCGTTTTATATTGGGCTTTTATTTTTATTGATTCGTTAAAATTGGGCCCGAGATTTTTCCACATACAGACAGCACACAACCACTTGCAATTCATCTCCGCAAGGAAGACGAACGAGTTGTGCTGGAACTGTGAAAGAGAAAGGAGATACTAAATCGTAATTAGTAAAATTTTCAGTCAATCCACCATATCTATATATATATTATCCATAGCTTGTGTGCATATCTCGGTTGAAGTTGAAAAATCTGTGGCGGAGTAATTGGAGTGGTGTGGGGGTGGAGAAAGATCAAAGATGCGAGGACGATGTGGAAGGAGATTAAAGAGAGAGAGTTCGGGAACGTTCGCCCTAATTTGTTCAGTAGTCGCATTTCCAAATCTCGTGTTTCGTCCATCCAGCTTTCCAATTACAAGGAAATCCTCTCCTCTCACCGCGGCTCCGTCAACTCCCTTCAGGTTTACTTTTTATCTCGCCGTTCTCCATTCAATTTGTAGATTTCTGTGTGTGTGTTTTTGTTGATGCTGTTATTGAACTCTGTTTAGGTATTCTGAATTTTGTGCGGGTTTAGTTGTTCTATGCTATTTTACCTGTTGAACATTTTTTGCTTTGTTTGATAAATGCATAATTGGTGATTTATGGTTAACAATATAGGGGAAAGTGACCATGGATGCTGAATTTGCGCCGCCAATGTAAGTTTGAACTGATGATTGCATGGGGATCAATTCTAGTATGATATTTATAAAAATCTAAAGCTATGAGCATGGTTATTTCTGGTTGGGCAGTTTCTTCTCCATGATTTGGACTACCCGTACTTGTTAATCATCTTGCCGTATAGTTTCTGGTTGGCAATTAAATTTGGGAGCTGATTTTTTTTCTTTTTTTCGATTTAATTAGAGTCTCCACTTGGTAAGAAGTGGAGAGACACGGAACTGAGACGAAATTACATTTACTAGTTAGGATGTTATTGATATATTTTAGCTTGAGTTTCTGTACTTGTATAATTGTATCCAACCGATGCTGCTCTATGTTGTCTATTCAGTCAAAAGATTTTTTGTTCATTGCACTGTAAGGTTATCTGAAATAATAATTATCTGGGCTCGTGATTTCAATTGCAGGTCGATTTGACCGAGAGCCGATATCTACTGGCTGGTGCATCAGATGCAAGTGTTGCGGTTTATGATATTCAGCGTGCAACAGATCACGACGAACGCAACCTAATTGCAAAGCACAAGCCCTTGTTTGTCTTGAACAAGCAACATGAGCATGGCCATAAATATGCCATATCGTCAGCCATCTGGTATCCAATTGACACGGGGTTGTTCGTCACTGGTTCGTATGATCATCACATCAATGTTTGGGATACAAATACCACACAAGTAATTAATTTCTCTACCGGTTTAAAAAAATTATGTTCTTAAAGTTTCTGCAATTTTAATAATTCTGATTTTTTATTTTTTTAATGCAGGTTGTGATGAACTTTAAAATGCCTGGGAAGGTTTATAGAACTGCTATGTCTTCAATAGCAAGATCTCACATGTTAGTTGCTGCTGGAACTGAAGATGTCCAAGTTCGACTATGTGATATTGCCTCTGGAGCTTTTGCTCACACTTTGTCTGGTCATCGTGGTATGCTAATAATGATGCATTGCTTGCATGTAACTTGTTTTCTAGTGTTTATGGATACAGTTTGCATTTACTTCTTTCGATACTTTGTAACCATGTTCGTCTATATATGGAATTTTAAATGGTAATCTATAACTAGCAAACATTACCAATGTTGTATGTTACCTCCTGGACCGCTCATTATAACTTAGAAACGGAAAGTTGCATATATGCTTATAAAGTACACTTTTCTTTATAATGAAAATCTACCCAAATTACTTGGAAAGCACAAGGTAATCAAGAAACACATAGCATGCCTTCGTAATAAAGAGAAGTCATTAGTGAAAAAACTTCTTTGGTTCTGGTATTACATGAGATATTTACATAGGTTTCATTAATTTTCGGTGTAGGTTATAGGTTACATGAGATGTTTTTTGTTTTCCTTTTGTTTTCCCTCTCATTGTGTTCTTCCTCTTTCTTTTACATTCTTTCAATTTAATATAGAGTCCAGCTTTACAATTGTTCATTAGGGGCTAAGTTCTCTCCTTTTGTCTACCTTTTGTTATTTGCTACTATAATTTATTTCTCAGCATAAAAAATTGTGGAAATGCATTCATGTGCTGAAATGTGGCAGATCTTTATTATTTTGATTATTATGACAGATGGAGTAATGTCATTGGAATGGTCTACTTCTAGTGAGTGGGTTTTGATAACTGGAGGATGTGACGGTGCCATACGTTTTTGGGACATCAGGCGAGCTGGATGTTTTCGTGTCTTGGATCAATCCTGCTCTCAGTTTGGAAGACGTCAGCCTCTCCTTTTGCGTCCAACCACAAATAAGGTCACCAATTTCGTAAGATTAGTCCTCCTAAACAGTAATGTTCGGGATATAATCCTATCTGCTTTAATTGAGTCCAAACAATGATTTTTTCACCTTATCTCTTTTACTGGACTTCGATTGGAATATTATTATGCATGCTTAAGACATCCAAATTTATCTTTTCCAAAAACGATATGCTACACAAACAGATTATTGTGTTGGCAAAATGTTAAATCCTCGTAATCTTGTTGAACCTGCAGAAATCTTCACCAGCAAGCCAAAGTTCATCTGCAAAAGTCCGAGCACATCACAGAAAATCAGCTAATGGAAGTGCTTTAAAACCCCATACTGTTGGTAGGATTTCTAGTCTAGTTAAAACTGCAAAACAGAGATCACATCCTGGAATGCTATCAAGTCATGATCGCGCCACAGCCCATTATGGTGTTGTAACTGGATTAAAGGTGACTGGAGACGGCATGTATCTTCTAAGTGCAGGTTGAATTTGCTGCATTTAAGCCAAATTTATTGTTTAATTATTTAAGGTTATTTAAGTTATTTATGCTCTTTGATTTTCAGGTTCTGATTCAAGATTGAGACTATGGGACATAGAATCTGGGTGTAATACGCTTGTAAACTTCGAAACTACTCGTCTACAAAGCAGCAAGGCTATACAAATGGCTGTGACCCAGGATTCGACTCTTGCTTTTGTCCCATGCATGGCTATTACGAAAGTAGTACATTGTCTCCATTCTTTCATTATATCTTTTCAATTTCCACGACCAGCTGCATAATTCATCTTTCTGAATCTCTTAGGTCTTTGATATTTGGTCTGGCCAAACAAAGTCCACTTTTCGTGGCCACTATGAAAATGTCAACTGCTGTTGCTACAATGCATTAGATCAGGTTCTCCCTCTCTCTCTCTCTTTCTCTCTCTCTCTCTAGATGTTCATGTTTTGCATTCTTGGGGGCCTTAGCAGGTTCATTTTACATTTCAAAATGACTTTTGAGGCGACTAACGTAGTGATCTTTTTATTCCTTATTGATAGGAGTTATACACTGGTGGTAATGATCGGCAAATTCTCGTGTGGTCCCCACCCAAATTCGTATCTGATGAAACGGTACTCTTTTTAAAACCGAACCCTTATGTTGCTGTGCTTTACAGAGTATATAAACTGGAGTTTGAAACTTTATTTTGGTAAATAATTTGCAGGGTGAAGGGAAGAATGGTAAGGCTGCTGCAACAGATGACCAGGATAACTGGAGTGATTAAGGTTTAATCTTATTTCTTGGTCATCTGCTTTCTACTTTTCTTCTACGTGTACATAGTGTGCTGTACTACTCTTAGACGTTCGTTTAAGGTAACTGAAAATATACAGGATAAGTGATGAATTTGCTTGATAATCTCTTGTCCCCCATCATTGTCGGTGATGGAGAAGGGTTTTACCCTGTAAAATTGGTTTGCTAGTCGTGTTTTCTTCGAACGTAGTTGTTTCATAGTTTCCACTTTGTGTCCGTGCGTGCAACCCTAGTTTTCCTTGCAAGTTTCAGAACTTGAAGATGTCTGATTTTATTACATTTTTTTATTTTTTGTTGGTTTTCAGTTTTAGCACCATATATTCCAAGATACTCATTTTTATTTCTATATGATTTCTCCTTTTCTTTTAGATAGTATTATTTTCCACTTCTCACGAGCAATTTTTTTTTCCTTTTTTTTTTTGGTGGCCCATGGAAGTTTGTTTGACTACTTTTAACAGTCAATGAGTCTAATTTGGGGGGTCACAAATCAAGAGTGGGGGGAACTGCCACTTTTTATCATGTTTCCTTTGCTAC